CTAACGAGGCTTCAGATGGCTCCTGCTTCCCAGATTTGCTTATGAACAAGCTGTGCCGTAATTCCTGATAAAACGCTAATACTAACCTAGTGTTGAAACGAATGAATGATTCACAAAGAGAATGATTATGCTTCTGCGGGAATTATCTCCTCAGCTTTTAGCACGAGGATAACGCTACTTGAATATAGCGGCGGAGGTGTGTAGTGGATTATACTGTGGTTTTATTATACGGCACGCAGATAGGTCTTTGTGTATTGTCTTATAATCAGCATTTATGCTATTACATTCGCAGACAGTCACCCCTTGGGACAGATTTACAAATTAATTCGATGGGAATTTCGAAATGGGGACTGCTTTTTTATGCGTTTTATCTTGTGTAACAGTAGTACAAAACGTATATTGTCACGAGGTTGTCTCTGTGTGTGTTTGTGCGTGTGTGTGTGTGCGTGTGTCCTTAGCAACTTGTCCGCAACTTTCGACTCGGGGAGAAAATTTAGGGGAACGTCGCCCCACCCACGTGCGACCCCGCAAATTTAAATTCAGCCTCCCCGTACCCGCGGGTAACACATGCGGCCCCGTAAAAGTTTGGGCGGATAAAATTATTATCACGGGAACCGCGAAAACTAGAAGGCTGAAATTTTGTGAGAATGTCCCCCACTCATGTGCCACCCAGAAAATTTAAATTTGATTTTCCCCTGCCTGCAGGTAACATGTACGGCCCCGTAAAAGTTTTTGACGGGTAAATTATTATCTCGGAACCACGGAGTCTAGGAAGTTGAAATTTTAAGGCAGTGTCCCTTTGTCCTCGAACGATCTTGCAAAATCAAATTCTACGTCCCCGCGCTTTCGGGTATCATTCACGACTCCGTGAAAATTTTTTGCGGATAAATTATTTTCTCGGGAATCACGAAGTCTACAAAGCTCAAATTTTAGGGTAATGATTCCTTGCTCGCGTACGACCTTACAAATTCAAATTCAGCGTTCCTACGCTCGGTATCACTTACGGCCTCTTGAAAATTTTGACAGGTGAACTATTATCTTGGAAATCACTGAAGGACATTCACCCTTCAGTGATTTCCAAGACTTCAAGGTTTCAAATTCAGCTTTCATGCGCCAGTGCGTGAAATTACTATTTTTCAACGTTTCAACTAATTTTGCGCTGACTAAAACAAAGAAAATCATTAACAGGCAATCGTTCGGTGGGCGGAATTGCACAGAACGCATGATAGCACTGGCTAGTCTGGTACGCGTTGCTACTTATTTTTAAATAATGCGCACACTGCAGGGCACGGCATAATAATCACGTGGAAAAAGAGTATTCCAAAGTATTTGGACATGCTTTTCCGGCAGACC